ATTGGTAATTTTAAGGAAATTTTGCCGTTTTTGGTTATTATCTTGAATATTATTATAGATAGAGATAAACTGTAAACAGCAATAATGTTCAGCAAAGTATGATCTACAAATAAGTCAACCTGACCAAAATGGTCAGTTGACCACTTAAGGAGTTATTGCCCTTTATAGTCAATTTTTAACCATTTTTCGTAAATTTTTGTAATCTTTTACAAAAATCTTCTCCTCTGAAACTACTAAGACAAATTTAACCAAAAGTGTCCACAATCATCATTAGGGTATCTAGTTTAAAAAATGTGTCCGATGACCCTGCCCGCAAACCAAGATGGCCGACATGGCAAAAAAATAATACATAGGGTAAAATGCAGTTTTTGGCTCATATCTCTGAAACCAAAGCATTTAGAGCAAATCTGATGGTATAAAATTGTTCATTAGGTCAAGATCTATCTGCCCTGAAATTTTCAGACCAATCAGGCAACATGTTGTTGGGTTGCTGCCCCTGAATTGGTAATTTTAAGAAAATTTTGCAGCTTTTGGTTATTATCTTGAATATTATAATAGATAAAGATAAACTGTAAACAGCAATAATGTACAGCAAAGTTAGATCTACAAATAAGTCAACATGACCAAAATTGTCAATTGACCCCTTAAGGAGTTATTGCCCTTTATAGTCAATTTTTTACAATTTTCATAAATTTTGTAAATTTTTGTAAATTTTTACAAAATATTTCCCACTGTAACTACTGGGCCAAGTTCATTATAGATAGAGATAATAGTAAGGAGCAAGAATGTTCAGTAAAGTAAGATCTACAAACACATCACCATCACCAAAACACAATTTTGTCATGAATCCATCTGTGTCCATTGTTTAATATCCACATAGACCAAGGTGAGCGACACAGGCTCTTTAGAGCCTCTAGTTTTGTTTTCCAAAGTTTCACAGTTGGGTTTAATTCTTCTCCACTTATTTTATCTTTTACCTCAAGCTCTATTACATCATTTTGTTTTCATGTCTTTATTATGTCTTTTTAAAATTTCTTCTTTATTATTGATAATTTTGAGGTCATGTAATTTAGTCATTTTTGTCTCGCCTTGACAGAGTCAAAAAGCGAGACATAGGTACATGTATGCTGTTGACAGCGTCGGCGGCGTCAACAATGTATTAGTTTGTGATTCGGTCTAGTTTATGGTAAACCACTAGTGGTAGGTCAATGATATTTGGTATGCAGTTGTATTATCATTGACACATCTCATTACCATGGAGATTATTTGGCCCTGTCCCCTCAGTCATGGTCTATTGACTTCTAAACTTTGCTTAGTTTACATGTATTAGTTTGTGATTAGGTCAGTTTATGGGGAACCACCACTGTCCAGTGGTAGGTCAGTGATATTTGGTATGCAGTTGTATAAGCATTGGCATATCTCATTTCCATGGAGATTATTTGGTCCTGCCCCCATGGTCATGGTCTATTGACTTTTAAACTTTTGCTTAGTTTTCATGTATTAGTTTGTGATTAGGTCAGTTTAAGGGGAACCGTTAGTGGTAGGCCAATGTTAATTGGTATGCAGTTGTATAAGCACTAGCACATCTCATTTCCATGGAGAATATTTGGCCCCGTCCCCTCAGTCATTGTCTATTGACTTAGAAACTTTTGCATAGTTTACATATTTATTAGTTTGTGATTAGGTCCGCTTATTGCGAACCCAATGAAAGTTTTCCACAGTGCCATCTCTATCTTGACCAGGTATTTAAACTTTTGCAAGTTCACCTGTCCTATTGAATAAATACAATAGCTATTGTTCTCTGTGTAGTTTATTCTCTGGGACCTTTAAATTTCTTCTAAGAGAAATCTATCATTCATTGATTAAATTACCTGAGTAAAAAAAAATTCTTATATATAGACAAAAATACTGTTTTTATACTCATTAACTGCGTGTGATGATGTAGTTATTCAATATTAATAATATATTTTCATTCAGTTTAATATAAACATTGATTCAATCATAAAAAGTTGATTTCTGACAAAACTTTCAACATCGTTCCTTTTAAAAAAAAATTTGTTTGACATGAATAAGAACTTGAAAATAATGATGTTTCAAATTAAGATCTTCTTAAATGTATTCTATAACTAAACAAAAAAAAAAATCAAATTTCAATAGGAACATTGATAAAACTTTTGTTAGAAATCAACTTTTTATGATTGAATCAATGTTTATATTAAACTGAATGAAAATATATTATTAATATTGAATAACAACATCATCACACACAATTAATGAGTATAAAAAAAGTATTTTTGTCTATATATAAGAATTTTTTTTTACTCAGGTAATTTAATCAATGAATGATAGATTTCTCTTAGAAGAAATTTAAGTCTAGGTTAGTCTATAAAAAGGTATATACTATGAAATTTAGAGCGAGGGGCTTGCCCCGAGCTCTTAATTTCATAGTATATACCTTTTCATAGACTTTCCAATTTAGCACATATTTACAACTCGAGTAATCTTTTAATTGGTCTATTGATAGTTTATTTTGGCTGACTACTTGTATCACAGGTGTTTGTAAAACGGAGCTCATTAACGAAGTTTTGTAAATCTACTCACTAGTATCATTGTAAAATATGTGATTTCAAAAGGCCCTTGACTCCAGAATGAAAAGATGGAAGCTGCTGGTGTAAGTATGTATATTGATATAAAGTGGTGTTTCACTATACATGTTCTTCTTACATGGTAAGATGACCAAATAAATTGACCAAAAGCAGGCAATAATTAAATTGCAGTGGAAGCTTTACATGTTTTGAAAACATTTTTTAATTTCACTAAAATCTAAAGCTATAATAAATTTGAAACATATAGATAGTTTGTCCCCATAGATATAGTCTAGCAGATAGGCATTAAAAAGCAACTATCAATAGATCAGAGATTATAGGTTTTGTGTGTTTTTTTTTTTTTTTTTTTATTATTTCAAAGTAAAAACTAAAAGATTTATCAGAATATGTTTATATATATAATTGGCACATTATCTTCAGACATAATCACAATTTTTCAATTCATGACATCGTCCTGAACATGCATGAAATATTTGCCACTGGAAATTAAGCAACCGATAATCAATAAATCAATCAATTCATGACGAAATAGATCACCTTCCTTAAGAAAGTTTAAAAAATTATCACCAAGTTGCTTTAATTTCCCTTCACAAGGTTTCATAGTACACACTTTTTTGTGTACAAAGTAATTGCATGGATGATACATTACTACATTATCATAATTTTAAGATATGTTGTACTCTAATCAAGGTATAAAGAACCATATGTATTACCCTTTATTTAAATGAAAGAAATAGCAATTATCAAAAACATTTTTTAGATCCAAAGATTTTAATAGCAGGATATTTAAAAATCAACGTGAAAACTAATTACAAACTATTTAATTTAATTTGGAACACAGCATTTTATTTCAAAACAGCCAGCGGCAATTTTTGATTTAAATATCTTCATTATGATACAATGAAATCTTACCCTTGTGGTCATTCATGTGTAGTTACTTAGTACACGGGAAAAGTATGTACTATGAAAATTAGAAGGCAAATATAAGCAATTTGATTGGACGAGAAGTTGTAAGTATGTGCTAAAGGTCCCAGAGAATAAACTACACAGAGAACAATAGCTATTGTATTTATTCAATAGGACAGGTGAACTTGCAAAAGTTTAAATACCTGGTCAAGATAGAGATGGCACTGTGGAAAACTTTCATTGGGTTCGCAATAAGATGAACCACTAATGTTAAGTCAATGATTTTTTGTATGCAAATGTTTTGGCATTTGCAAGTTTCATTTCTATGGAAATTGTATAACCCCACCCCATCATTATGGTTCATTGACTTTGAAACTTTTAAATAGTTTACAAGTTAATGTTTGTGTTTAGATATTTGTTTAAAGGGAACGACTTATGAAAAGTCAATGGTATTTGGTATGCAGTTGTATTAGCATTGGCACATCTCATTTCCATGGAGATTGTTTAGCCCTGTACCTTCAGTCATGGTTCATTGACTTAGAATATTTTCATAACTTACATGTTAAAGTATTGCTATTTTAATTTCAACATTTGCATTATCAAAATAACAAATAGGCGAGACATGTCTATGTGTTAACAGTTAATGTTCCTGACTGTTTCAACATTCTTTAAGTTTTCATTAGGATTGTCTGCTACATTGTATTTTTGTCACTGTTAACATGATTAATGTCATTTCATTTACAAATGATAATTTTATTTTAATAGCGCAAGAAAGGTCTAAACTTGAATAAAAGTATCAATGAAAATAAGTAACTGTTTCAGGATGCATCAATGGGAGTATGACAGCCTCCAGTTAAAATATCCTTCATTGACCATGATAATAGAATTTGTAGGTTATAAGATCACAAATTCATGTACTGCATTTGTAAGTGACCTACTGTCATATAGTTTGTTTTAAGGGTGCATTAAGCAGAACAAAGCAGACTTTAACAAACAAGTAGTTCACTCTGACCTTTATATTGAATGATTTTAAGGTGTACATGTCCATGATTCATGCAAATGAGGTCACAACCAGATAAACTTCTGGTTGTGACCTCATTTGCATGAATCATTGATAATGTTAACAGGGTTCAACATAAACTGGCACATTTGTTGTATTAAAAGGACTATCAAGCAAAATTTGGGACAAGGCAAACATTGTTTAATGTGTGATTAACTATGTTCTTGAAATTTAGTTTCCTTAGAGAGACTGACTATCATTTTGATTCTGTTCTATTTCAGATTCTGACAAACAACATGAAGTAACCTTTGGTACATTGTTTAATGACGATGATTGTGCCAACCTTTTTGAAGCAATGGTAGGAACATTACGGGCAGCTAAAAGAAAAAAGATTATTTCATATGATGGTGAACTACTGCTACAAGGAGTGCATGACAATGTTAAAATAACTTTACTGAAGACAGAAGTTTGATAATACTGGATTTTTAGCTTCATTAAACAAATTGCAATGTCTTTCAGTTGAATAGGCACATAATTTGTGTGATATACAATTTGTAAGCTTTTTTATAAGTCATTTTTTCAAGTTTAAATATTTGATATATTTAGTACATTTGTAGATGTTTATGTTATTAAAATGATATTAGGCAACAAAAAATATGTCTGGTTTCCTGCCTCCTGTCATAGAAAAAAAAAGTCAGTAGTTTGAAATTCTTTTTATTTATTTTTTTGTTTTGTGAATTGACAAAATCTGGAAAAAGTACATGTTTTCTCCAAGTCCAATCCTGATTTACACAAATATCTGATAATTCCAGCATGCATGATGGTACATTTGCAATTTTCAATGTTTTGACAACTTTTCAATCAAATTTTTGTCAATCTTTGGTCAAATTTGACTGAGAATCCAGTGAAAATAGAATTTGTAATCTACTCAAATGACACAAAGCTCTATTTCTTGAATACTCTTTTGAAAAAGGCAATAAAATCTTTTAGGGTCAGTGGTCAGACTAAGGGTCAGTACGGATGCAAGAAAACAGACATATTTATGTTTTAGTCTTATAGATAAAGAGTGCAATATATTGCTGGATAGTCTTGTTTCAAATTTTTAAAGAACAGGACTCCTCCTGCTTTAGGAATTTTGTTTTTTTCCATCATTAAATGGCCTGGAAGCCATTTTCAAAATAAATTTTAGCTTTTGCTAAATGTTCTGTCTAAGTCCTATTACTGTATCATATTTATTCCTGTTTAATTGTTACTTCATCTCTACTTCCCCTAAATCCATCAAATATATTGAAAGGTTATGAATTATTGTTATTTCAACATTTTCATGGTCAAATTTTCCATTAAAATGTTTATTAAATAACTTGTCATTTAAGCCTTTTTTCAGACAATCAGTTTTCAGTGTTGTATGGATATCTTTGTGGCCAAGTTGTGGGACTTTTATAAGTTCAACATGTCAATCAGCTTAAGGCAATTAAGACTTTGCATCCAAAACAAGCAGTCAGGAGTACTATCTATATTGTGGATAAGATAATGATCCTCAATGGTAGTTTAAATGTGGTGTACTTAGTTAGTTCTTATAAGAATGATTTTAATGACATTTTGCTATTTGTATTATTTGTTTCTTGTGGGACATCATCTGGAAATCATCAGAAAAAATGTTATATATGTCATGTATTTATATCACAAATAAGTATAATTGTAAAATGGAAATACTGGCATAACTGTTGGAAAATGTAATATTGTTAATGTAGGGTTTTTTCATATTTTTTAAGAATAAAAATCATTGTTACAGGTATAGAACCACTAATTCAGGCCCGGTTGGAAAGAACATACAAGAAAGTAGTACATATTTTAAACAAAATAGTTCCTACGCATAGCTGTATCTTTGTCAATAGGTGAAATATTTGGGTAGTTTTGGTATCAAATGAAAGCTTGGGGACTTGGGATCACTTTAGAACCCTTGTTGATAGTTTCTTTTGGATAATAAAGAAGTATATAAAATTATAATAGGAGGGCACATTTACCCTGTTGTTCAGATCAGAAGTACCTGTTTTTGTACTATCAAACTTCCGGGAACCAGTACGCTCTAATATGCAATTAAAGGTATGTTGAATTTTTCAGCACAAGTCAGGATAAGGTATAGTTTTGACATGAAATGACTGCCACTTTATTTGAACTTAAGACAAAGCGGCCATTTATGCTTGAAATTGCAGAATTTAACATAGAAAGCAATAGGCTATGAATTAGTGGTTTTATACCTATTACTGAAAGGCATGTGAAATTCAAATTTTAGAAATCATACCCATTACAATGAAAATTGGTCACATTTGTTGTTAGTAATCATGTTACATTATTTTTTTTATGTAACAATTATGTTGGTGTCAAATTACAGCCCTCAAATTGCTACAATAGGGTATTTTAGCCTTTTTTGGTCATTTAGCATGCACACAGTTAAGACTTTACCTGAAGTTTAAATTTTTGCATTAACTAAGACTGAAACCAATGCAACATGTATATTGTGACTGGTTTATAGTATAAATATAGCTTTTGGTCAAACTATCTAGTGAGGGTTCATGTTTTATTGGGTTTCTTAGTGAATCATTTATTTCAAAGGAAATTGGTGTATAATTATATAGGAATTCCAAAATATCACTTGAAATGCAATTTATAACCAGTTTAGAAAGTTGTCAAGCTGGGAGATACATAGATTGCTCTTGTTGATCCATGTTTATACATAAAAGTATGGTTTTTACCAAATCACTCTCCTTTTTCAACATGTAGAAAAAAGGGGGGTGGGGAAATGATCAATTATATTTTATGTTTGGACCACTATAGTTATATTCAAGGAAGAATCTCTGATAAAAATAAGACATATAGGTAAGAACATTGTTATTTGAGTAGATATTAACACATTAGAACTGGTAAAAATTGAAAAAGTCTTATATCTGTCACTATTAGTATCCATATGGAGTTTTCTTTGTATAACGTATATACTACTACCAGTCCAATTTGAGCTTAAATTCAGTGATATAATGTTTTGACAAAAGCTTTATGTGTTTTTCTATGCTAGAAATAGATCATAGAAGGAAATTAAGTGAAGCAGAAGTCAATATAACAAGTTTGGTGCTGTTATAGGTATAGAACCACTAATTCAGGCCCGGTTGGAAAGAACATACAAGAAAGTAGTACATATTTTAAACAAAATAGTTCCTACGCATAGCTGTATCTTTGTCAATAGGTGAAATATTTGGGTAGTTTTGGTATCAAATGAAAGCTTGGGGACTTGGGATCACTTTAGAACCCTTGTTGATAGTTTCTTTTGGATAATAAAGAAGTATATAAAATTATAATAGGAGGGCACATTTACCCTGTTGTTCAGATCAGAAGTACCTGTTTTTGTACTATCAAACTTCCGGGAACCAGTACGCTCTAATATGCAATTAAAGGTATGTTGAATTTTTCAGCACAAGTCAGGATAAGGTATAGTTTTGACATGAAATGACTGCCACTTTATTTGAACTTAAGACAAAGCGGCCATTTATGCTTGAAATTGCAGAATTTAACATAGAAAGCAATAGGCTATGAATTAGTGGTTTTATACCTTACAGATGTATATGTTATTAGTGAAACAAATATTTTATCACAGTATGGAATTATGTAGGGTAAATAAATCAATATTCTCTAGCTAACCAAACATAAGGAAACAACAAAAACTAGCTGTTGTTATTAAAACTTTTATTGAAAGGATAATTACACAGAGAGATTTTGACAGATTTATTTGTAACTGAAAAATGGAAAAAAAATCATACTTTCAATAGGGTGCCTTATAAAATCTAGTGAACAGTGCATGCTTCATTAAACATTTTTTATATTTAAATGGAATATTTTGCTATCTAGAAAGTTTGGCACTCACAATTTAACAAAAAGTTCATTTCAAGCTAAAGAATTCATCATTTACCAAAACTTTTAGTAGAACTCTGGACAAAAATTATTTATAAAATATATATCAAAATAACAAGCTTCTATTTTTAACATTTTTTTTTTTATTCTGCTTTTATGGTTGGTAAAGCAAAGGCATAATTCCATCATGAAGTTTGGTCATTATTGGGTTCTTGCATGACTTTATAATATTTATACATTGAACAAACAACACAAAGTAAGGAGTTGCAAAGTACATAATTTAAGACAGTGAAATACCCTTGAACTTGAATAAGATACTACATTTTACAAGTTTATGTAATTTGATCTCATAAACATTTAACCTCTACATTTTCAATTTATATTTAACAAACAAAATAGAAATTACACAATATATATTTTTTATTTTATTTTTATATTAGAAAAATGCTGATAGATCAAAACTCGATTATTTACTTGGTCTAAATAAAAAAAAATGTGCCATGGAATGTTTAGGATAAATAAGGTTAGGAAAAAGTGAGTTTATCGATAATGATATATATTGTTTTTGTGTATTGATATTCGATGAGTTTCTGTTAATTTATCTTTGTGAATCAGAGAACTTGCATTTGAGTATTAAATTTATATAATAATTATATAATTTTTTTTTATTGAAGTTACAATTTCTAATATACAAGATTACCACCCATCAAGTACCAAGTGCTTTGTATGTGCATCATTTCAATGTAAAATCATGTAGTTCTCCTAAACCATAGTGATTGGTTTTCCAAAATGGTTTTAGTTTGTGATTAACAAATAAGAATACAGCCTAGTGTTTTGAACTATTTTCAAACTGGCTACAAAAACACAATTATTTTCATTTAACTTCTTCAAAACAAAAACGGTTTTCACATTTACAATTCCACTTTAGCCAAGAACCATCCTCTAATTTCCAAAACAGCACCTAATAATTAAACATCTGGTGGTTGTCTCATAACATAGCATGTAGTAATTTTATCTTCCTGAAATAAAATAATGCCCCTCATTAAACAGCAGAATGCATGTCAGTTTTGTTCATCTTATATAAAAAGAAAAGAGGTAAAATCTTGCATCTTTATATATTAGTTATCTGAACTTTCAAACCAAACAGGGAATAAGGTTCACGATTTCATTTTTCTAAAATAAAAGAGTTGAAATTTTGAATGTTTGCTGAATTTAGATGTGTAAAATGAATGCTGGATAGTTTTTATACGCCCGTTTACGGGACGTATTATGGTATACTGTTGTCCGTCCATCCTTCCATCCGTCTGTCAGTCGTCAACATGTCGGACGTTAACTCAAAAAAGCTTTACCGGTAATCAATATGCCTGAAACTTTGGTGAATTGTTTATAATTATTGACGTGAGCTCCCTTTCGTTTTTTATAAATTTCAGATTTAGCGTTTCTGAGTTTTTGGGTTTTATTCATTAAAAAAGGGGGATTTTCCAGTTTTTGGACAATAACTCAAAAGTGCTTTCAGCAGTTCTCATGAAACTTTGGTGAATTATTTATAGCTATTGATGTAATCTCCCTATTGATTTCATAAATTTCAAATATGACATTGAGGAGAAATTGAACTTTATTTGTTTATAGTCTGACAACAAGTATTGTGCAAGAGCACAGTGTATTGCACAACAGCAAGATATCTTTAATTGAATATAAATTCAATTCATATAACCAATTTCAAGTTCTTTGACTACATTTATCCAGAAACCTATAATACGTCAAATATTTAATTACAATCCAAATTCAGACCTGTATCAAGCTTGAATATTGTGTCCATTTTTGCCCCAACTGTTCAGGGTTGGACCTCTGCGGGCGTATCCAGCTGTGCTCAGCGAAGCAGTTTATTCCTCATCCAGTACATTGTATTTCTACTAAGAAAATTATCTGGTCTAAACATGTTTTGAACGAGCCACTAACTGTACTCCTCTTCTTGCCATCTTGTTCCTTTATTCATGTCAAGCAAACTTCATACTGGAGCTTCTGAGAAAGAACGAAAAGAAGCTAGCATTATCCTTGAACTTCACATTGTGCCACATAGATGATAGGACGATCTCCTCTCACTGAATAATTCAAAGGTTGAACACATCTATCCCATAGAACTTTAAATAAAGGACACAACAGATATAGTGAAGTTTGCCTCATATCTTGACTTACATCTATATACATTGACAATGAGGGTCGGTTGAAAACAAAGCTTTACAACAAAAGAGATGATTTCAGCTTTCCCATTGTGAACTTTCCATTTCTATGTAGAAACATTCCAGCAGCGCCAGCATATGGAGTATGTATCTCCCAGTTGATACGATATTCCAGAGCTTGTATTGCCTATCATGATTTCCTTGATAGATCAATGATTACTGCTTTCCAGGAAGCTATTTACCCAAGAGTTCAAAGCGGTAAAGTTGAAATAATCCCTTCAAAAATTTTACAGACACCATGAGTTGGTTGACCCGTATGGAATATCTGTTTCACTGATGACTAAGAATGTGTACACAATTCTGTCCTCTAGTCTTCGAATACGAATTAGACTTTTCAACAAGTTTGTACTTACATAAGCAACACGACGGGTGCCACATTGAGAGCAGGATATCCTTACCCTTCCAGAACACCTGAGATCACCGCTAGTTTTGTTTAAATTGGGTTCATCTTGCTCTTGCTTTATTTTTAAGTGTTGTTCTTTGTGTTGATAATTTTTAATGTCTGTTGTTTATACTGGTAACAGTCGTGTCTCTGCTTCGCCATGAAGAAAAACGTATGTCTATTTCAAAATTGCACTTTCAGTCAAATTTCAGGCTTAGGAAATTTACATGACCAATGGTTTATTAATTTGGTGATGTCTTAGGGTTAGATAAAGAATCAATTACCAATCCACTATTGTGTCATACCTTTGTATCTGGTAACATACTGGTAGTTTGTGGAGGGGTACCCGGTATGTCTAAACGCCCAACTCAACTACCGTAAAGCCGGATGCTCATACTAATAAATTTTCCACCTTGGAGCTAAAAGTAGACATTGTCTCTACTATGTACCCTACCACTGATATCAAAGACCTTCAAGAGTCTGCCTGTATAGGGTGGGGTGCGGGTGTAACAAGTATTTCACAAAGTTAAACTTGACTATTGCCGAATTGGCCATGCTTAAAGATTTCCCCACTGGACCATAGCGAAAGAGGCAGGGGTAGATATTGTCTACTATACGGATATCCCTTAGGGTTGGGGGATTCGGTTTGTCATATAGAACAACTCAATTATTGCTGGCTAACCACACGAGGTTCTGCACCATATTACCAGAGATTGGGGAGGCATTGCCTCTATTATGTGAGTACCGCAGATACTCAGACCTTCACGAGTCTGGCTGCATAGGTTAGGATGCGATGGGACTTGATGGGCCATACTTAGAGATTCCACATTGGCACTAGTACCAGAGATCTGAGAGATAGAAGTAGAAATTGCTCTACTATGCACCGTACAACATATATCTCGGACCTTCACGATTTTGGCAGCATAGCGTGGGGAATACCTGGTATATCACATAGCCAAACTCAACTATTGACACCTGGTACAATGTAATACTAAGAGATTATCCACCTAGGCCAACCCAAGACCTTCCTGATTCTGGTCGCTAAGGGTCAGGTGGGTTTGTGTCCAGCAGGTCAATAGTCCAACTTTACTATTTGCCGGCTGGCCATACAAAGTGATCCCCACCTGGACCATACTAATGCCACAGGTTAATATAACTTTAAAGCATTGCCTCTGGTATGCATCGGTGCCACCATGTGGATCAGGATATGCTTATCCTTCCGGAGGACCTGAGATCACCATCGGTTTTGTTTCTGTTGCTCAGTCTAGTTTTCTACGTTGTGTTTTCTATACTGTTTGTCTTTTGATCTTTTTTCGTTTTTTTTTTGCCATGACATTGTCAATTTGTTTACAACTTATGAGCTTGAATATCCATTTGATATCGTTTGCCTTTCTTTCACAGATACACCAAACCTTGAGGATTTTGACTGCTTAGCTAGGGTCGGATGAAGGGTGATATCCGATATGTCATGTCAATGATCTCAATTATTTCCGGTTGACCACACAAAGAGAATGTGCACCTAAGTCATTGAACCAGAGGTAGATGTAGGTATTGCCTCTAGTATACACCGTACTACATGTATCATAGTCCTTTAGGAGTTTGAGCGTATAGGATGGGGTTTGGGATGTACGCAGCATTACTCAAAGTTCAAATTAGCAATCGCAGACATGGTCATACTGAGAAATTCTCCACCAGGGTCATAGTACCAGAGGTTAAGGTAGACATTGGCTATACTATACACAGTGAAACAGATTCCAGAGACCTTCACAAAGGGTGGATTGTGTACCTGGTACTTAAGATAGCCCAGCTCAACTTTTATCAGCTGGCCATGCTGAGAGATTCCCACTGTGTCGTGAAAATAGCGCGAACTACGTTCCTCTTTTATTGTACTTTCGTTGTCGACGTCGGTACGTCAAAGACGTCGGCTTGGGCGGAAGTAGAAATTAGATGTTATTAAATGGTTTACTTGAACGGCTGTATATTTTATATGTCTCCTTTCGCCACTATATTTTGGTGGCGTGACTGTTGTAAATAATGGATTCGAAGTTGAAAGCAGTACGAGCACGACACAGAGGACAAGTGACAAAGTTATTTAAGAAATTCAAGGACATTGAAAAGAATTCGGACTTAGACAAAGACGATGTGAAACTGATAGCGGATGCCATTGAACAAAATCAGAGGACTATCGTGGATTTAAATGAAAAGATACTGGATTCGATGTCGAAGCAGGATGTAGCGGAGGAAATACAAGAGTCTGGTGAGTATATGTTTAATTTGAAGTCCAAGCTTCGGAAAATTCGAAAACTGTCACACACTGATTCCCTGTCTCAAAATGTAAGAGTCGCATCAACGTCTTTAGACCCAAATGCAAACAGTTTTACACCAACTTACCCTACGAATTCTTCGCTTACCATTGCCAATGTCATACACAGCAATGAAACTGGAATAAATGTACAGCAAACACATTTTGATGATTTCCGCTCCATGCATAATACCCATCGTGACTTGCAGTCTACAAGTAATTTGTACAACCAAGGCTTTTCTTCCGTATCAAATAGCAAACAAAACCACAGATTACCGAAACTAGATTTACCGCACTTTGATGGGGACATTTTACAATGGCAAAACTTTTGGGATTCGTATGTATCAACTATCCATTTCAACAGTAATTTGACCGAGATACAGATATACACAAAAGGTGATACGAGGTGATGGACCTACAGCAGTTAGCTCCGAATAGGCTACTTATTGTCAGGACCAGTTAGCGATAACAGGACTTCATCAATTTTTCCTGTCCTTTTGAACATCATTTCAAGTCATCATATGGAAGAGAAAAGCTGAAGTCGACTTTGCGGGACCCCTTTACGTTAGGGACAGAAATGGAAATAAGAGGAAAGTATTTATCTGCCTGTTTACGTGTGCTTCAGCACTTCATCTTCAACTAGTACCCGACCTTACAGAAGAATCATTTTTACAGTCATTTAGAAGATTTATTTGCCGCAAATCTTTTCCTTGCACAATGATTTCGGATAATGCGTCGACATACCTAGCAGCAGCCGACACAATACAGAAACTTACAAATTCATCAACTTTGAAGGACAGGCTTGTAAATCATGGAATCACATGGAAGTTCATACCACGACGCCCACCTCGGTATGGAGGTTTTTTGGAGCGTCTTATTAGTTTGACAAAAACTTGCTTGAGAAGGACACTTGGTAGGCCATACGTCACTTTTGAGACACTTCAAACTTTCATCACAGAAATCGAAGCGATTATCAATGACCGATCCCTGACATATATGTTTCTTCGCAGACGAAGACCTTTGACACCATCACACCTGCTGTACGGGATGAAAATAACCACAACTGCGTATCCGCCAACAGAAGTTCAAGATACAGCGAACATTCGCAGTGGAAAATCTGAGCTCTTTAAATGTTCACACTACAAAGAAACATACTGGACAATTTTTGGAACCGTTGGAAAAAGGAATATCTCACGTCATTAAGAGAATTCCATCGGACTACAGAAAACAACGAGAGAGCAATCAACACTGGTGATGTCGTACATATTCATGAAGACATGTTACCAAGAAGCAAATGGAAACTGGCAATCGCCGAGGAACTGGTGACGGAAAACGATGGATACGTCAGAGCTTCCGTAGTGAGAACTAGCACAGGACACATATCGCGACCCATTTTAAACTGTACCCAATTGAAGTGAATGCAAAAACTGACTTTGTACGAACTATTGATTCTATCGATCACGTTAAGGTAGCACAATACAAAGATTTTTTCACCCCCAATCAGACAACTTAAAACTGATGTAATTTTCTTTCATCCAGCTTTTAATTTTATAAATGAGGTACCAAAAGAAAGAAAAAAGATTAATCTTTCAAATGGTGAAAACGTCAATTTGACATAATTATTACATAATTAATTATTATGTAATTAGTTGCTATATTAAGATGTCCACATTTGAATGAAATTAGCTTCTTTGTTATTCATAGCATCCCAAAATATTTTATAGATTCTTGTATAACACAGTTTGACATCCAAAAGGGTGTCTCAGATTTTTCCTATTGTATTTCATTCTCTCATAAACCTTCAATGAAGTTTGCAACCTAAATTCATAAGAGATCACTAAATTTAATTGGGTATAAAATTTGTTCTATTGATGTTTTTGGAAATCTGAGACACCCTTTTGAAGATAACAGGTCAAGGAACAAAATGTGTGAAAATCAGGCATATAGGGGCACCCATCTAGGAGCTAAATTCATTTAAAACTACATTTTCATGACAAAAATGAATGTGTCACAATTGAATAAATAAGGATTTTCCTACTTGTACCCCATTAACTTCAATATAATTCACACATGTACCATTGGGATATTTCAGGATTGGCCTTCAATCATAAATCAATTAGGTTTTGACCAGTAAGAAAGCATTCAATTTCAGCAATTCTAAATACATAGAGAAAATGCACACCCTATGCATCAAAAACCAGATCTGGCGGGAGATGTTATATCATTATTGGCCTTGTTGTAAGTCAGTTGCTACTGATATGGTCAAAACTCCGCCCACCATGATAAACCTTTACTACTAATGATCTCAGAAGTTTAATTATACATTGCATTTACTTTTTTCAATATGGATTTTATTCATTTAGTACATAACATAATATATTTTATTTTTTGATTGTTACAAAAAGTAAGTTATGCATGTGTACACAAAATGATCAGTTGGTCAGTTTAGGGGATCCTTATGGGGCATTTTTAGAATTGTAATTGTATACAAGGACAATATGGTGTTTTATACAAAGTAGATTTTGTTCAATTTTGCAGTTTGAAAATGAAATATTTAATTTGTATTTTCTTTTAAAAAGAATTCATATCTAAACATTCTCCCCCAAGAAATTCCAGTACATTAATTGTTATACAATTACATTTGTTTAATTTCTGTACATTTATATTTTGATTCCCTCTATATCTCCAAATTGTTACTTTGTTTTTTTCTCCTGGCAGCTCCATTAATGAAATGTATTTTTATTTGGAATTCATTATCTTCATTTTTCCATTTATCCCTAATCCACCTCTTTTTCGTAACCGTTTTATTTGAATTGTTGGTCAGTGGTCATAAAGCTATCAAATGATTCTATTGATTAACCACAAAGTACTGCCCACATGTTCTTATCTTGTATCAGTCAGACACGTGCATTTGTTTATAAAACTAATTATCATCAAAACTCAATAACAGTGCAAGATATGTAAATAAATTTTTCTTCTGTGGTTTTGGAATATTAAGAAGTAACAAAAACAGCTGAAAATGAAATTTTGATAAAATTTAGTTGCTTTTGTATTGTGCTTCCTTAAGACTGACGAAAACACATTGTCATACCTTATCAAAAAGAGAAGCATCAGTGCGAGCGAATGAAAGAATTCACAAGTGGATACATGGACAATAATTTGTGAAAGTTAAAGTTAAATTCAGTGAAATCTAATATTGACATTTTAAAGATAATTTCACTTTCTGCCGTAACCATGGACATTTTTTGAGAATTATTTGATTTAAACTCATTTATTGGTAACTGGAAAATTGATTTTTTTTTATATAATTGTATTTATTTTCTTTTGTGTGCCCGGAGAATGTCGTGAAAATTGCGCGAACTGCGTTCCTTTATAATTGTACTTTCGTTTACCAGGTTCAATCCACCATTTTCTACATAAGAAAATGCCTGTACCAAGTCAGGAATGTGACAGTTGTTATCCATTCTTTTGATGTGTTTGAGCTTTTGATTTTGCCATTTGATTAGGGACTTTCCTTTTTGAATTTTTCTTTGGTAGCGTCGTACTCTAGAATGGATTATTCCGTATACACCCTGGTATGGTTGGTTCCTCTGGTAAGGTAACACCTCGGTTATAAAAGGGTAGATTGGGGTATAGGTTTTTGTTATGTGAAAGTGTGTGGTTTTGAATGGTAACTCTACGTATTGATGTTTGAATGAATAACAGACTCCTTAAATGAAATCAACTTATATTAACTCTAATATGCATTAAATATCCACAATACATATATATATATATTTAATAACTTAACAGTGTTCAAATCCAATAAATAGACATTTTATCAACCATCTTTCGTAAATTAAAGAAATGGATAGCGGAAAAATATACTCAGAAAGTTTACTTATTTTAGTTTAGGAATCAGGAAATGGTAAAATTCAATACCAAAAGATTGTTATAAAGTTTAACTCACGAAGTTGTTTTTCAAGTGTAACTCGTAAAGGAATTATTGAACCCAAATTATACGAACGTAGTCTTCTCAGACATGGTAATCTGTCATCTGTCTGGTAACTGGTACCTATACTTATATTAAAACTGCTTGGAATTAGCGAGAGTTACTTTCCCCAAGGTAAAATTGTGTTAAAAGACTTACTTGAATTTTCCGCCGTATTGATACTTAGGTAAACCAGTTTACCGATTTGTTTTACCATTTACCAAAACCGGAACTGGTAATTACCAAAATTGTGTTTGGTAAAAAGTTTTTGTACCTCAATTGAAATAAACAATTAAGAGGTGTTCCGAATGTAAAAACAAAGGCAAGAATGATAAAAGTTTGAGAGTTAACAATGTTTAAACATACTTATACAAGAAATATATAACAACAAAAGTAATTTATCGTTATGATTAAAACAACGTCAACGCACAATTTTTGGGGAAAACAGGTCTCATTTCAGGGAACCGGCAATCCATCACACTACTTAGAGATTCTCCTCCTGGGCCATATAACCAGACGTAGATATATATCATATAACACAAGATAATAATTTGGGTTACCCGGTTTGTAAAATTACCAAAGTCAACTATTGACAACTGACCATACTATAAGTTAATTCGCCTGGGCCGTAGTACTAGAAGTAGCAGTAGGTATTATCTTTACTTTAAACAGTATCACAGATAGCAGAGATTTTAGGGAGTCTGACTGCATCAGTTGGGAGGTGGTGGTGTGGCCATACCAAGAGATTGACCTCCTCTGCCATTGTTTTATGGATAGAGGTAAACATTGCCTCTACTATGCAACGTAACACAAATATCAATTATCTTTAGGAATCTGTATTCATTAGTTGGGGTGTGGGTGTACCCAATACGTCATCGCATAGTCCAACTTGACTCTTGCCGGCTGGTCACACTGTGAGAAATCTTCGCCTGGGCCTTAGTACTAGAGGTATTTTTAAACATTGTCTCAGCTACTGCAATGTACC